ACTAACGTGCAATGTTCCAAACAGCTTTAGAGTGTTTTTCGGGCAATCAGAGAGGACGGCATGACAGTGTTGCAAACTTTGGCAAGCGAAGCGCTGTAGTCTAGCTTTCGTGCGCGCTGCTCTCAAGTGATATCATATGACTCTTACGCGACACTACAACCCGGCAGCACACTCATTAGCAGCGTAGCAATTCGGTCGGTTGCTAGTGCTGCTTGACTTTTGCTCAGTGCTGGCCCATGGGATATCACACGTTGCAGAGCTATGTCGGGAGGTTCGAGCGTGGCCATACTGCAAGGCAGCTTCTAGCGTCCCAAAAAATTGCATCGACCTAAGCAACATCCCACATGTCAGAACACACTTGGAAACTCAAAATAGAGCCCATGTCATCAAGCAAGGGGCAGCAGATATACGCCGCCAAGAACTAGATACATTCTTCAATGATGGGATGTTCCGCAGAATCCATCATCGAACCACATGTGGTCCTGCAGCCTGAAGGCTAGGCACCATGCCGCGACACTGGGCTTGGAACAAGGCTAAGGGTCTCTGTGGTAGAAATGATCAACACAAACAGACCATGCGGAGAGATCCGTCAAATTGGATCATTCCAAACCAGCTGACGATCTCATTTTGCAGTGACCTGTACTATAGCCTACGGTATGGACTGGAACTGTAGTCCCTTTACAAGCAGTAACTTGCGATGGGGTCAATGCAGAAGATGCTTTTCTCGATGGCTGGATGGACAGCATGGACGGTATAAAACAACTGTGAGTGACACTTCGACGCCCACTTTCTCGACAGGATCAAACTCAACGGTGCATGCGAAGCATCAAGTGCGCGCACGGGTGTGCAGTGTGCAACCCTGCAATTTTCAAACAACAATATCATGTCTGCTACAGCACAAGGAGCTTCTTTTCTCCTTGCATGTGTTGTAGGGAAGTCGGGCAGTGGGGCCAGTGGGGCGGGGCTGTCATCAAGGCAGTGCTTGCTCATGTAGCACGCGGATGGTGAACCATCAGAAGGCAATTCTAACATCCATGGCAGCGGAAGTTGGAACACCGCGAGGTCTTCGTAGAAGTCGTGTTTGGATCCTTGCTAGCACTGTGGGGTGGCATCGGTGATTTCAAGCCCGGGCCCCATACATGTCTTTGTATCGCATGATGCTAAGCCTGCCAGCATGATAGCCATAACTAGTTGCTAGGCCAATTCGAGCGAGTGATTCCAAGAAGCCCCGCTGGGAGTGGGGCACCTGCGTGTTTGTAACACCGTGCATTGCACAGATGCATGACATCTGACCCCTACTGTGTCCAACATTCTCAGTCTCAGGTCCTTACATGCGCGGCCAGACTTCCACAGCTACCGAACACGGGCCAAGTTCATGAGGCCATACATCGCATGGGAGATGTTTGTCAAAGAAATTACTGAATAATATGAATGAAAGTTGCAGCCGCATTGGAGGTCACTTCTGACCAGCATTGAGTCGCCACCGTGAAGTCTTGACACTACCAGCGAACGAGCATAGAAAAGACCTTAGCGCTTCAGAAGCGTCATGCGCAGCTCAAGCCTAGTTGAAATGGTGTATGTCGTGAGAATGTTTTTGCCCTTGTCTCAGCGTTGCTTCTGCAGATCACGCTAGGCTGCTGTCACTTCAGCCATGGGGTGCCTTCGGGTATGTGCTGTTCTAGTTCCACTGTTAGCCGTACTAGGGCCCATTGGGTTGACCCTTGGCTGATTTCAGTCGCTTCCGGCAAGAGAGCAACAGCAGATCCAGCACGTTGAAAAGCTGTAAGCACTCAATAGCTTCAAAATTCCGGCCTTTCAGGAGCGCAGTTCTCGACGGCAAGTTTTGGGATGCCTTAGCTACATGGGACGTGTCTGACATACCGGATCTGTCGGGGAAGGTGGCAATTGTCACCGGACCTACTGCATCTAGGCCTTTGTTCTATGACCACCTGCTCTTCTCATGAAGCGAGCATCATGCCAAAACCGCAAAGGTAAACGGCATCGGTTTCGAGTCCGCGGTTGAGATGGCAAAGAAGGGTGCGCAGGCGCAGAAATCCTGGTCCTTGATTCCAGAATTATTCCACGATCTTTGCTTGCAATTTGCGCCTGTTGGCAAGGTCATTCTGGCCGGACGAAGCGACAGCAAGGGCCAGGAAGCCCTGAGACTTTGCTTCAGAGGGTGCCCAATGCCAAGGCAAGCCAGACGTACGTTTTCATGGAAACACCTGTTCGAGTGAAGAAGTGCTCTCAATATCTGTTCTGAATACTTGAGACGTTTTCTTTGAATTTGACAGAAACCAGGCCGAGTTCATGAAGCTGGACTTGGGCAGCCTCAAGCAGGTGAAGGAGTTCGCCACAAACTTCAAGGCAAAGCAATTGCCCTTGCAGCTTGACCAGAGCACAGTCCGGCCTCACCAGACATAGGCTGGCGGCTAGTATCAGCCATTGCCGGTCCTGGGGTGAGTAATATTGGAGCTGGTAAAGAGTATGGGGGCTGCAGCAGTAGAACGGCTTCCTGACCGCTCTGCGCGATTTCTTTCTGAGCTGTCTTCTCAGCTGCAGGCCCTTTTAGGATTTGTTCCGTCGTTCAGGCTGCACGATGGATCGGATTCGGCTGCCATGTAGCATTTGGAAAGGTGTATATTACCGATGGTGAAGGTTCCTTTCACACAGCCAGCCAGCACTGACCTCTCCACGAGGGTCCATATGTCTGAGTGGCTATTGCTGAGCCAGGTGGGGGACAGAGGCACCAATAGGATGGGATCTGGGACAGAGGTATCATCCACATCCCTCCAAATCGTTGAGTGTCTTCCCGACCCCTCTTTCTCATCGGCACTTCAACAGAATCAGAAGCATCAGAAACATGAATCAGCCAAGACACATTCTCATGAACAGCGCCGGGGTGATGGCCAACCCTTTTGGCCTGACAGTCGACAAGCTGGAGAGTCAGTTCGCTACAAATCATTTGGGCCACTTCCTGCTTACAAAGCTCTTGCTGCCAGAGCTGGAGGCGGCCTAAAACCTCACATGCTTGGAAAGCATGTCCTGAAGATCTTTTTGAAGATTGTTGGTCCTTTTTCTAGGCATCAGCGCCTGCACGAGTTGTGACCGTCACATCGGCAGCAGCTTTCATACCAGAAATGTTGGCCCAATTTGAGAGGCTACTTTGCTGAACTAGCTCAAACTTCGGCTCCTGACAAGCCATAGCGGTTTCAGGCAATTGCCAATGAAGCTTTGTGACTTCATGATCATGCAGCCTGAAAATACGGCATATTTTGAAGCTCACGAATTGAGGTTTGGACTGGCGAACGCAGCCCCTGCCGTGGATTTTGACAAATTGGGGCAGGACTACGAAGCTGCTTGTTTGAGATTCTTTTCATCCCAAAGAAGGCCCAATTAAGTAGAATCTCATCGTGCTGCCTTACTGCCAAGGCTGACTACAGCCCGTTCAAGGCATACGGTCGATCCAAGCTTGCAAACGTTCTGTTCACTCGTGCACTGGATCGGCGGCTGTCGGGCAAGAAGATTTATGCGAACACCTGCCATCCTGGCGGCATCAAGACGAACCTGGGAAGACATGCAACCTGAGCTGAAGAGTTGCCTAAACACCGTATGATTCAGACTTGATGATTCAAGATTGTTCGAGCATCTGGCCTGCACACTCAGAGAAGCTCAAAATCCAAGGTCCAGAAATCTACAGAGGACAGCATCGGCCAAGATTTGACGCCTGTTTGACATGTTTGGCTGCAGTGTTCACCAATTATGAGAGCACGCCGCAGCCAATGTTGCAGGGATCCTCTGGGGAGGTTGACTGGCCTGGCAAGTCTGACCATAGCCTAGGTATGTCCTCGTAGATTATTTGCAGCAGCTTGTCATGCTGACACCTCCTCGTGGAATCTTGGCAAACAGCCGTTTGCCGTTGCGACACATGCCATTGTCACGTAGAGCACATGATGTCGTGTACATTGTTCGAAATCGGCCAGCACTGCAGGTGCCATAACGCAACTCTACCTTGCGACGTCTCCAGACATCGAAGATAAAGGTATCCGTGGACAGCTGGGGACCAATCTGGGAGTGTCATCCAGCTGTCTCATGCTTTGTCATCTTAGCCACAGCCGTTGAGGTACTACCGTCCACAGGCACTGCGCAGAGATCCTCCAAGTTTTTCCACGGAGGAGCTAGAAGAGAGACTGTGGTCCATCTCCGAGAAGTTAGTAGCCGAGTATGTATAGATTGTTGCGTTGTACATTGGACGGCTTGGTTGGAGACGTCCATTTGCCTGCAGAATTCTGTAAGAACTCGAGCAGGTTAATTCACGTGATGCACGCTACCCCAGCCACGCACATTTCACAAGCTCAGTTTTCGCGAAGAACAGCTGCAGCTACTTGGAGAGATCCTTCTTCTGTCATTTGCTTGGCCTATTGTTTGGATCTCACCGTCCGACGCCCAGGATGCTTAGAAAGGATATCATGTGGACAAGATGAAAGAGATTTGGTTGCCCCACACTTCCAAGCGGAAACTTGCATATTCCCAAGACATATCCGAACTCGATGAGCCACGACTCCGGAACGTAGCATAACTACGATCAAAGATTGTTACCGGGTCGAGTTACGAGCTCTCCATGGTGCTTCTCAGCAAGCAAGAAGAGGATGCGGAGGCTTGAACCCTTCAGGGAGCCAGGCGCCACAACTTGCCGACTCTATCCTCGCGTGTAAGGCCAAGCATCGGCGTAAATTGGTGACGAGGATCTACCATGCTCCAACTACCGTTCAGAACCGCTTGGACCCTCTAAAGCATGCATCGCCTTTGCTGCATGTCCTTTACAGGATATGCATATCCTCGTTCTTCAGCGAATCTTGCTTGCACTAGGACTTCTGGATGAGAACAGGAGTGTGTGGTTCATTTGCCTCGCTCTAGGTTTCTCAGCATTTCATCTTCGCACAGTCTGAGCCGCGGCTTTTCCTCAGCTTGTGCAACCAGGACTGCCGGTGAATGTAACACAATTGTTTGGCGCCAGGCTTTGAAATTTATTCAGAGCTGGACTGTGGAGAAGCTGCACCTGCGAATTGTTCTTTAGTCATGAGCCAGCACATGACATGCAGAAGCAGGTTCTGATTGTTGCTGGCTACATGTAGACCGGGTTCATGTTAGCCTCAGATGCTGAATAACAGCAACATGTTGCAATTGGCAGGATGCAGCTGCAGCTACACGCATTCTGGGCAACACCTCTGGCATCGTAGGTCTGCTGAGTTTGGTGGCATCTTCCTGAGATACCGGAGCTGTCGGGCCTCTAGACCTGCCAACAGACGAAAGGTCGTACAGGGTCCAGGGTGCGCAGCTACATGTGACTACGGCACCTAGGTGAACCAAGCTGGTGGCAAACTCTCGGACCGCATAGGCGTGTGTCGAAGCATTTTTGACTTTTGCAGCAATTGGCAAATCCATCAGGGGAGTGGCACTGGGCTTCGGAAATCCCAAGATCTATGATATGGCTTTTTCCAGCTTACCCAGCTGCAGTGTGGCTTCTAGATGCCAGCTAGGAATCAAATTTTGCATACATGGAAGCTTAGGGCTTCGGGTAGCAATTAAACCGCACTTCACCGCACACTGTTTGCAAGTGGTGCTGTCCTCTACCGGTGTTTTTTGTGCAGCTTGACTGCTTGCATTGTTGCAGCTTTGCCTTGCCAGGACGCAAGCCTGGATTCCTAGTCGGCCCACTTAGAACCTCGGACTTCTTTAAGTTGTGCGTGGCACTGTGATTCTTGCAGTATAGTCTGAGGCAACATACTGTTGGGATGGTGTGTCTTCAAGAATGCCAACAGCCGATGGGTGGTTGCTGTCTGCCGGATTCTCCGGTTGAGCCTGGAACTTCCAAAGTTGACCACCAGATGTTGATGGCCTTTCTGGGGTGGTCAAGTGCATCTGACTAGATAAGCCAGCGACCAAAACCGGGCATGTGATGGAGCCCTTGCTTTCTAAGGATATTGACAACCTTCTCCAACACGGTGATGTGTAATGCGGCCTTGGCAGATGCAGCTTGGACAAGCAAATTCTATGTTCAAATGACGCCCGCCCCGTGGTGCTGGGTCAGGTTCATTGTTTCAATTGCGTTTCCGACGGATGCTGCAGGTATGCTCCAGCAATGAGCTGGCGCTGGCAATGTCTCGAATACAGACCGCAACTGGTCATCCCCTGAGTTGCTTGCAGTTCAGATCTTCAAGCCCTGCCGCGGTTTTAGGCTTCCAAGCTTGGAGCAACTGCAGGACTCGCGATGCTTCTGACGCCGTTCATTGAAGGGAGGCGCTTTGAATCTGGATATGTCTCGATAGGAGCTGAATCCGAGCTAGTCGCCGCTCAGGATTCTGCTCTTGTCACCCTCATCGCCGGCAGGCATTAGGTATGTGTATGCTGTGCCTTGGCCGGTCTAAGGAGATAAAGGCGAGTGGGTGATGCCAATAAGCCATGTGAACAGTGTCCAGCGCATCATTTGTCACGACAAGCTCGTGATCTGGGCTTGTGCTTTCTTCTCCGGATCCTGAACGAAGGCAATGGCCGCAATTGCAGCTGTCCATACAGGGTTCGTGGCATCACAGCTGGAGGACAAGTGAAATTGTTGCAGGTTGTCAAGACTTGCCATTCCTTGTTGCAAGTGGATTAGGAAACCTTGGATTCGACCAAGAGAACGACCACACAACTGACCTTGTCAGTGATGCTTCCCTAAAGTTCACTGCTTTGCACTGGGTCAAAGTGTGCGTCCTCGCCTTCCTCGCATGTCCAAGGATCAACCCGTTTGGTTTTCTTCGTCTTTTCGCTGAAGGTTCAAAGGCTGGAAGCAGGCTGTGGTCCTCAATTGAGAGGTTCTATGCTGCAATCATGAAGGTGCTTCAAAAACTGGTAGTCATCACAACGCTGCAAATGTGCCGTACCCAGCTTCGAAAGCATATGCATCCTGGCCCAAGCGGCCACGTACCCGAAAGAGTTTCAGGTGATCAAGGATGTGATTTCTCCGCTTGCGCACGGCTTATGTGATGCCTATACGTTTGCCGGTCCCACATAGCACGACAGGAGGCACATGATAAAAAAAGAGGATGGCTCAAGTCATAAAGCCAGCTGTGCGTCTGCCGAATGGAGCAAAAGATGGTTCGGGGATCATCACCAATGAGGCTGAGTCAAAGTGTTCCTGCACTCTGTGCAGGGGGTTCTTGCGTAACGAATTGGGCAGACGTTGACCAGAAAGACCGTTCAGCATGTATACCGTTTGGCTGTTTTAAATCAAAAACGGGGATCTTCAATTTCAATGTTGTTCTTTTCTGAGCATACCAAAACTGGTACTCCTGGTAAAATGGCGCACCTGTTTCTACGAGAGCACCTGGCAGCACCATATAGCACTGTGGCAATGACTCCAGGAGCTACATTAGGGGATTGCAGCACGTGGCACGCCTGTTGTTCTTCATGGCTGCTTGAAGGTTTCTCGAGGGCAAGAACCTCAGCGATGTTATACAGGCCGCCCAGACAGGATTCTATTCAAATCGGGATTCGTCGTGGATCATCACCATGCGTGCACAAGAAACAGCACAAAATGTACAGAGCCGATCAGGAGTGGGCAGACTTCATGAACATGCTGACGACAAAGCCCGCCGTCAATCATCAGTGATTAATTACACTAGTTTGAATAGGTTTCTCCTGGCCATAGGGTGCTATGCACGAGTGTTTGCGCGTGTGGTTGTTGTGAGTGACCAAAAGCCTGCTCAAAACGAATGACGGCTTCAATGCTGAAGAAGCTTTCAAGCCGAACTGAGTTGATACATTTTCTGGTTTTGCGAGATGACTACTGTAGCGAAGAATGATTCACTCGATGATGCTGGGTCTGGGTCATATACCAAGACTCCGGCTGCCGGCTGCCAAGGGTCCTTAGGCCAAGACAGTTTGGTGAGACGGGACTCCGTGCCGTTTGTCTTGGCCACCAGCGAAGTGGATTCCCGGCCCAGCGCCACTGAGCGCGTATGAAAGCGTAGCTTTGGAGGGGCTCGCAGCTTGAAAAGTCCCCCAAAACCCTCACCGGCTCTGATGTTTGAAACCTCAAATCGAATAGAAGTCCACGCCTTTCTAATTGTACTTAGTTGTGCTTCTCAAGCCTAGGTGGGTAGGTGCCATGCCAAACTCATGCCCAGTTTGTGCAAGAGCGCAATCCATTCCATGCAGACCTGGATACGAGATCACCTCAAGTGGTCCGTGACGCAGGCCATCTCTGCCTTCCCTGTGTGCACAAAGGATGTCATTCGTTGCGGGGCTCCTCTTCAGGTACGGAACTTCATTGTGGGGCTGGAAGCTCACAAGACCCGACTGATTGTCGAAATCAGTGCCCTTTGAGAGATGAGGTATGGTCTTCTGTGCACGTGCCCAGCTTAGATTGCTTAGCCAACTTAGTAGTGAGAAACTGTACCAGGGGCCACTTGTGCGTCACAGGGCAACGGGTGCATCAGCTACACCGTGGATGCTGCGAAACTTGAGTGCGAGAGGACCATTGCCCTTCACGACTTCATGGCTTCATCCCAGCATGCAGCACGCCGAAGCCTAGCTTGATGTTTGACGCAGCTGCGTGCACACAGCAGGATTTACCACAGCTACCAATCTTCTGAATGCAGCTGCGTTTGGATTGCGTGGGCTTGCTCCCAGCTCCCTGCTCTTCCTCACCATGATGGCGGACAGCTGAGATCTCAAGAAACGATTGCCAGCTGTCACTCGAGCTGAAGATGTTGGAGGTACCAATGCTTCCTGGTGTCAATGGGGCAAGTGCTACCGCACTCAAAGCAGTGGCACAAGACATTGCTACCAGTCAGGCGTGTGGACACGTGGCATGTACATGTTTATATGATGTGGGCCTGGATCCTCTAAGTGCCCAGGGCTTCGGCAAAGGTGAATTCTCAGCTTGGGCCGCTGCCTCACTTGCAGACGATGCCGCTTCTTTCTTGGTTTGTGGGAATCCAACGGACTAGCCATGGCCGACAGGACCCCTCTTGCAGTTCACCCACGTTCCATTCTATGTTTGCACCACCTTCGGTGGGGTGCGGTCATTGCACCAGGCATGCTGACACGATATGTGTACTTCAGCCTGAATCCGAGCACTTCACGCCAGATTAAAAGAATGATTGGGACTCTTGGAACTCAATCAAAAAAGAATACTTATTGGGGTTCTTGGACCTTTACTAATTAATCGCTAACGCGAGACCGCCTCGGCAAAGCTGTTGAGGCACAGAGCACCATCCACCCCCCCCGCGCCCCCCCCCATCCCGGCCCCCATCTCCCCCCCAAAACGCCTTTTTTGCGGAGGTTAGGGGAAAGCTCCTCTTCGGCCCAACCTGTGCGCCCGGACCCCCGTTACCCCCCCAGCAACCCGAAACAAGGAGCCGATTGCACCCCCCGGAATCGTGCGCTAACTTACTCTTCCAGCGGCCCTGGATCTAAACGCCCTAGGCCTCCGGCCTCGGCGGATCAAAAAAAAAAAGAATGTATTGAATATTTTATCAGGAGAGGTTCCCAAAAAAAAGAAAAAAGACTTGAAACCTAGTCCCCTTACCCAATACGAAAAGCCATCTAATTGCAGCTAGCCTTTGGAGCCTAATTCTACCACAAAACCTCAAAAAATATGGTCCCTTTTAAATATTGTTGAAGTGCTGGGATTACCTCGTCAGAAACACAAGTTGAGCTGCTGCGAGCAAGCTCAAGTCCAATGACAGTCGTTCAATGTCGTTCACCTTTCTGGATCAATCGACGAACTGGGTTTTCCTACGAGATCATAGACCCGGCCCGACTGACCACAATGCTCAAGCCCTTGAACCCGACACACACGTTCAATTCAGCCTGACTGATTGTGGGCAGGGGGCCTGATGTTGTTCTAGAGAATCTACACTTAGCAAAACACTCCCCCAGGTCAACAACTTGCGTGCATTGGCGGGCTCTGCTGCACCAGTTCTGTACGGACAGGCGGGTGTTGTTCCGGCTGTCACTTCAGTGCACTTCTGATGTGCTAGGTATACGCTGCAGCCGAGAAGCATGGCTGGGGCCTTGGTCAGTATGTGCTCCGGACGCTGAGTGTACGAAGCTGCAGGCAAGAATCCTGGACTAACCTTCCTGCTGGCCGGCATTGTCGGTGCTTTGCTGCCACAGGCTGCACACAAATTGCCACTTTGCCAGAGCAAGCTGGTCTGCTACTGTCCAAAGAAGCTTTACAATCTACAGGGCATTACGTCTTTGTGCTGTAAGGCTGTGTTGCATTGTTGGAGGTCTTGTTGAACCAGATGACGGATGCGGAAATGGTGCCTCCTAAGTGAAGGCAGACCGCTGAGATATGCAAGGTTCTTAAGGCTGGCGACTCAGCTTCGCGGGTGAGGGGTCAACTTTGAGTAAGTTAGAAAGCCAGAAGCCCGCTCGATACGACGTGCCTCCGCGGACTGAGCGCCTCTCACGCAACACTTCAGCGTTCCTTGCAGATTGGAATCGGAAGTCAAGCAGGTCACCACATTCAGCATTGGCTTCACGGGTTCATATAATCAATTCCCTCCTGATATCGCGGAGCAATGCGGAGCAAAATGCCTACCAAGGGCTTCGACAAGCATAACTCTGCGGGGTTGACGGCCTGAGCTCGGCCCAGCCCGTCATTGGACGAGTCTTGGCAAAGCCTCCATGAGCTCAACGGCAGTTCATTCAAAAAAACTTTTGTGCCGTCATCGCAAATTGAGTTCGCATCTGGAACCAGCCTCTGCTAGCCAAACATTAAAGGGCTACTCTAAGAGAATGCCGGAAGTATTTTGTGGGGGTCGGCAAAAGTTGAGTAATGCCAGCAGCACCCGCACACTATTATGGCGGGAATGTCAGGCATGTTTAGCCAATAAGTAACAACCATTCAACGAAAAGTGCGCCAAACACACGCAAACCTGGCGACACGCTGCCATGATGTGCGCGCATTTTGGCGCCGAAGAGCGATTCCTACCTTAAAAGCGTGTGGAGAGAGCCCAATTTCAAGTGCGCAGTGACACTGTGATCGCCAACACGCGACACCCCAAAGCGCAGGCTTTGCTAGGATGCCGGAGGGCTGCTGAGCAAGCCAAAGCTTGGGCAGGCCCGGCAAGGACAAAAGGTAAAATGCAGATTCGCCAGAATTTTTCTCTTAAAAGGCATTTCCTGATCGAGTCTTTTGTGGGGCAATTTTGCAGTGCCCAAGGCAATGCTTCCGTCTCGGATTGGAATCAAAGATGAGATTCTTGAAATAGATTTGAAAAAAAAATATCATGATGAGAATTATTCTATAGAATGATTATTATATTTTCAAGATGAAAGAATTCATCGATCAAATCATCATTTCATCATCTATTATAGAATGATAGATCTATATTCCCTCGATAGATCGGGCAATTGATTACTTCTTCTATAAATGAGATCTCGAAATATCTTTGGATTTTATATTTGATTTGATAAATCTATTCTTCGCTTAGGATTTTAGATAGATGATAATTTTCAAAAATCTCTTATATATATTATATATTTAATTTTTTAAAATAATGATTCTATATTTTGGATTTTGTATAGATTTATAATGATAATAGATAGAGGATACGAGATATGATATATTTCTAATTGAGACTAGATATATTATTGTAATTCGAAAAAATGATTATTTTATATATTCTTTAAGTTTCAATGAATAAATATTTTTAAGAAGAGATCGAAATCTATAGGATGATTTTTATTTATTACGAGATCTAGAAAAATTCATAGGATTTCATATTTCGTTTTTTATTTTAGTAATAGACCCCCTAATAGCGATGCAAGAACACTGCGGTTTTTTTCCATCGTTAGTTACGCCTTACGAACCCTTCGTATTTAGATTATTGGAAGGATTTCAATATAAATGGCAAGTGATTTTGGTATCGTTATATCTTTTTTATATCCGTCGCGTCAAAAGATATATTCATGAATTGTTACGTTCATATTCTGTGCGTCTTTCGTTGTAGGCAAAATAGGGACGAGAAAATTATGCGAAATCACGTATTAGGGACGCATGGAAGAGCGGGTATTTAACCTTCTAAATAATTAAAGAAGTATTCAGCAGAATTATCACGTCCGTTTTATTATGACTGATTTTTAAGGATTCTTGTTATGGAGGAAATGGGGTTGTTTGGACCATGATAGAAATCTGGGAAGATATTCTGATTTCGTATTGCGAGGATATTTGAAAGATCATGGAAAGCATCTCGTATAGATAGAGATGATATCAAAAACGTGCAAAAGGGAAGCCTGAAGCAAGACGATCCTGATTTATTTTGCTGACGAACCATGAATCAGCATGCATATGCCTCTGCCGCTGTGCTTTTTTGATATTTTGGGAATTCATGGAACCATGATGAAAGTACGAAAAATAGCGCTACATTTCCTTCTAACCAGGCTGGAATGGGCAAATCTTTATATGCTGTTGGCCCACTTTTCAGTTGCCCAAGCAAAGAATATCTGGACACTGATATCTCCGTTATTCTCAGATATATCGAACGAATTGATTTGAAGATGAGGAATGAAGTCCGTAATAAAGTCTCAATTTCGTACAGAAATACGTCTTTTCAAACCACTCTGTATGTATCAAGCGGTAATGCACCTGACACGTATAGCCAACCCGAGCAAATTTTGGATACGAGCAACGCGAGCCTAATTTTCCGAAAAAAATATTTTGGACGAGAATAAAAATTCAAAAGAATCCGGTTGTGGCCTAATGAATTCTGGTCCCCCATAGCATGTCAGGCCCTCCTCCCCCAGAGTCACGGTATAGTTAGGGCGCAGTCATATCAAAACGCGATAGAATCATGGTCCCAGCCCCAAGCCTATACAATTTTTAATGGAGAATCGCTGTAGAGTCACGGCAAACTCGCCGCGGAGTCACGTCGAGTCATGGTCCAATCACGGCAAAATCACGGTCTGCCGTCTTATAACCAGATCCTGGGTTTAAGGCGAAATCCTTTAGAATCGTATTATAGATACGTTTATGAATATAGAGGATTTTGAGGTCCAATATCGTGCAAGATCCCTGATAAATCGTTATTTGCAAATGCTGGCTGGCAATTCGTTTTTCTATAGTTAAGATTTGGTGCAATGACCGACCCAAATTCACGGATAATAATCTTGTGGTTTCTCTGGCATATGCTGAGGTCGGCTGCCTGCACGATTTTGGGGAGGTATCTGAATTGATATGAGCCTGGAGCTGACTGCAGCACAGTGCGATATACGTTTTTCACGCATTGAAAGCACATGGACCCCAAGAAGAAATAACGTATTATCAATGACGCGAATACTAAGTTTTGCCGGTAGCTGTCGACCACGCGGGGCATTAATACCTTTTTCAGTTCCAGAATTTAATCTCAACAGTAAGCACGAAACACATGGCAAATTACAAAATTCTAATTCGTGCGAACTCTTCCTATGAAAAGGTAGACAGCCGAAAGAGAAATCATGATCTGAAACCTTGATTTTTTAGTATCAAAGACCAGATTATTTGATGATTGCCTTTTAAATGTCGCCATATTTGTGCAAGAATCCTCCAAATCATCATCATGTCTGGGCAGATGATTGGATTCCAAAAATGGCGATGGGAAAAAGACGCCGATTGCGACAAATAAATAATCAGCATAGTATCTAGACCGGTTGACGCGCAGGGTAAGCAGGGACTTCCAAAAACATATTCATGGACCGCTGCGTTCGTGCTCCATGCGTCCTTCTCCGTAAGCAAAACAGGGATTGGTGCTTAAGCAAGGACTAAATCATATTTAACTGTGCATCAGGGACGCACGGAAGAGGTGGGGGCTTAAGCAGGGGCTAAATTGCGTTAAATCGCGCATCAGGGAAATTGTTGCGCAAGCTTATCCGGTCCAAAAATATATTCATAGATTGT